GAGGTCAAGGAAGTAATGTTGTTACATTGTTTAATGTTATATTATGAGACATATATGATTTTTGAATTGACCTCATTTATATCTGACAGGTTGACATAATGTTAACATTTGTAAAGCTTCACTATTTTTATTTAGCAGTTTTGTTTTTCTATTTAAGAGCCAATATTTTGGTCATTGAAGACCTTGAAGGCCTCAGGTACTTTCTTCATAAAGCACAATGGATGAAATAGGTCTGCAAACAGAGAGGCTCAGAGAACAGAGCACTGCACAAATTCATATAAATGCCTCAATACATTTAAAAGTAGTATGAACATGTATTTAATAATATACCTTTTGGAAAGAAAATGTGCTTAAAACATTATATTTATAAAAACAACAAATACATCACCCATTCAGGCAGGATATGTATTGTTAAAGTGATTTTATGGTCAAAAATCACTTTCTATTAAGAACGAAATTCAGGTAAACATTTTCCAAAATGAGGGGAGGTAAAGTAGGACCCAATTTAGTTGGTTCCCTCCTTTGCTTTTATATGTCTTGACTAATTTTATCTTTAATTCATTCAGTTAGGGAGAATGATTTATTCATTTATTTATCAAATATTTATTTAACTATAATGTTCCAAAATAAAAAGACATAATCATTGTTTTGTGTCATATGTAAATTTGAGATACTTTCACACAACAGTCATGTGGGAAGGGAGAGATTAAAGCCAAAAGGGAATTCCAGCCTAAATATAACAAGTGGGTTTTTGACACTGTTTTGTGGTTTAATAAGAAGGGTCATTAAGTTGAAGTAATAAAGTATAAAACTTAATCTCTCAAACCACTATAAAAGTTTCAATCTTCATGAGATGGCAAACTTTTCTTTTCTCAAGCTTTTCTCATACCTAATGATACTAAACTAAAAGCAAATTATGTTTTTATTAATTATTTATTATTATTAATTATTTGACTCTACTTTTCAGTCAATTCCTTTGTTAGTTTGAGGATTTCTTTTATTGTGTAATGGACTTACAAGAAATATTATATGTAAACCAAAATAGGTTTAAAAGCACTCATAAAAATTTTTTAAGAGGAAGCTGTGATTATTTTGTATTGAGTGGTTAATTTTCATAGATACATTTCCAAGGGTAAATGCTTATCCCTTTTTTCATTTGTTTCTCTTTGAATCTATTCACAAGGTTTAAAAATAAAATTTTGACGTTGCAGTGAATAATTCTACTTTTCTATTAAACTGTTCTCTATATAATACCTTACCTTGCTCATTTGAATCTTTTCTGCCATTTACCACTTGCTCTATAAGATTGTATTGATGTCACCCTGTCTTACATTAACCAACACCGACATATTAATTTAAAAATACTTAAGGTTTAATATGGTATTTTCAAATAAAAAATGTAGTTGATAAAAATCAGTCAACAAATACTTTTTAAGCAAATGTTATGCAGCAGCACTATGAAAAGTAACAAAGAGCTTTAAAATAATTGTCACTGTCTTACCGAAATTTATAATCTGAGGAGTTCAGCCATTTATTTTCTTAGATGTGACTATAAACTAAAATGACTCCAAAAGCCAGCCGTTAAACGGATCCCCTTAGCCTTTAAAAGCGGAAGATGTATATACTAATTATGTGCATTTAATTTTTTAATACTCTTGTATAATATTATTGTCCTGAATTTTCTTTTAAGGTTATATTTAAATTGATTAAAGTTACAGAAACAGTCATTATTCTTAAAAGCGAACTCTGCATTGCAGTCTGACTGCTCATCCATAATTCAGGATCCCGGCCTAAAACATTATGCTCAAACAAGCACAAATATTGGCAAAGGTGAAATATTGAACTGTTACAGTAGCAGCTAAATTATGTAGCAATCTGTGTGTGTGCTTTAATTTCCTAGCACGAGACATAAAAATTCAAAGCAGAAAAATAGCCAGCAATTAAGGCTGTAAGCTAAATAAGCAAAGGAGAAAAGAAAGCCAAGTTGCCGTTATGCAAAGTTCCACGCTCTTTGTTAGTTCAGGGAGGATCTGAAATGACAATGAAATCCAAGAAAGGAAAAAACAACAAACCTCCAAATATTAGTTATTTATTATCTATCCAGGCAAAGAAAAGGGATTCCGAAAGAATGTTCTTATGGATTTGAACTTTGAAAATAGCAACTTTGATTTTAAGTTAATAGAAATTTATTTTTCCTCAAATTTGTCATAGTTATCTGGGCAATAATACCAGCCCTCCATTTATTGGGATCTTGGTCACTTGTCTGGAGGTTCCAGCAGGCAAACAGGTTTCCTAAACACCCTTAACAGAAGACAGATCTTTCCTGTCTGGGCAAGTTGGGCTTAAAGCATCAATAAATTTGCACAATGAAAACTGAAAGCAGAAGACCCACACCTTACGAACTGAATCAGTACAATTAACCCAGCAGATCAATTTGTTAATGGACATACCCACCAGAGCACTTTCACTTCCTGTCATTTCACTGTTTCCACTTAGTGAGGCTAGACGTGTTGTGCTTTGTGTCATTGCAGATCTTACGTTTTGTAGCCAGCAATTACCTATATACACAAAGTAACTGATGCTAAAGGTTAACAGTAAGTATCTACGGCTCAGGAATTTTTTTTTTTTATTTCAGCAAATTATGGGTGTACATATGTTTAGGTTACGTGTGTTGCCCTTGGTTCCCCCCCCCCCCCGAAGTCCGTGTTTCAAATATGTCCATCCTTCGGGTAGTGCGCATTGCCCTCCTTGTGTATACAAATACCCCTCCCCTCCTCCCTCACCCACCGCCCTCCCCCTTCCCCAGCATCCAATAGATGTTGTTCTGATATGTGCATTTATGTGTTGATTAGTTAATACCAATTTGATGGTGAGTACAAATGGGTCCCGTTCTGCTGCTCTTGTGGTGCTCCACTTTGGATAATGGGTTTAAGTTTAATCCAGGAAAGTGTAAGAGGTGCTAGATTACTGTCAATCTTAACAGACTTAAACCTAAGGCACGAAACCTTAAGAATTCTAAATGAAGATGTTGGGAAGACCCTTTCAGACATCGGCTCAGGAATTTTGTCTCCTTCTGAATTTTAAGGCTTATTGTTCTAACTTTGTCAGGTACCCTTATGACATGTTATAACTCTTTCTGTTATAACAACGAAAAACAATTAATACAATAAGTATAGTCACTTCATTATGTAATAAAATGACTTCTGTGAAGTAGAAAACAATTAGCATTTCTCCAAAAATCTGGATGATTAAAAAATTTGCAAGAAAAATTTTCAACAAATTACAAAGCCAGTCCTTCTCATCCAATTTTCTTTCATGTCTATTTGAATGGCTCACCATATCACAGCATTTACAGTTTTTAAAGCCCCTTTAGTATATTAGCTCATTGAGTTTCACAACAATCCTGAGAGGGGAAGCAGGTGGAAACAGTCCACATTTTGCAAATGGAGCACCTAGACGCACAGGTGTGAGATAGGGCATCCACTGTCGCGGGCTTAGTGAGGGATGAGGTGGGGACTCCAGCTCTTTGCCCCACTCCACACATTTCTTAAGACAAACCACATGTGCTATTAAAAACATAATAAAACAAAATACTGAAGTATCCATACTCTTCACTATCCTCTCACCACTAACCATTGCCTTAATAAAAGCACTTCCATTCGAAACAAGATCAGAACGAAGAGTAGAATGTTTGTAGGAACATAATCTGATTCTGTTTGAGTTCTTTCACATTTGCTCTTTACCACTTTCTTTTATTGTCACTATGTATGCCATCCAGAGAATTTTCACATTTAATAGACTCAAAGGAAAATCTGTTTTATCACCTTATCTTCCTCACCATCCTGCAAGGGACCTGTGGGTTTCCTTTCCATCATTTCACAGATCATGTCATTGAGGCACTTGGCCTCAGGCAAAACCACAAAGACAAACATAGAGGAATGGAACTCCAAATTCCGTGTTGCATCTATGCAAGTAAAGATGCACAACTTAAATCTGAGATCCTTGATGTTGAGCAGATGCAAGCAAAGAATTCTTCAGCCTATGGAACAGGTCTAGATCCATATATTCAGCAAGGACCTGTTCTTCTATCTAATGAGGCTCTTTCCGGCATGACAAGTAGGATCCATCAATAATAAATGGGAAGCATGTCCCACTCACACTGGAGCTATGACACTATTTTTAAGCTCTCTTGACAAAAATTACAGCAAAACACTTCTAAATGTGGATATTTTTATATCCTAAAAGCACATATTTGAAGCCTAGGAGAGATATCATTGGGATTATGACAAAGAAGCAATTTTTTCATATACCTATAGATGATGATTATCTTTCTGTTTCAAGGAATATACATGCTTAAAGAATATTGATAGTTGGGATTTCACCTGTGTGTTGTCTTAACTTTTCCCTGTTAATTCTCTTCTCGAAAGCAGTATGCTGTCAGAGTAAGAGCACCAGAGAAGAACGTAGGACTGGTTTGTACGCTATCATTAACCATTAATTTTGTCACATCATTTCATGTCTCTGGGCCTCTTTTGCCTAATTTTTCTTAAAGAATTTCTAGCTAAGGGATTTCTAGTTGGGAAATGCCACCGGTTTACTTATTTGGCAATAGCACATAGTTGCTTGTCCAGCATTGTCATGACAACCTTATCAAGGCACTGTCACTGGTGTTGTATTAGCATTGGTATTATTGAAAGACAGCACCAGTACATTTGGCAATACTCCGAATTCCCAACTAACCATGTAAAGCATACTAACACAGACAGAAAATCACAAAAAAGGCGGTACCTTTGTCTTTTCCTACAAAAAGAAGACAGCATCTTGAGATAGCATGGCTTTGTTTGAAAATACTGGGATAAAAGACATCCATTCGATTCTTTGTTATAGTTTTATAGAATTGCATAAAAATCCATGGAAATTTAGGGAATTGTGTGTCAAGTTGGTATCTGAATTTAAAAGTGTACTATAGAAAAAAAATCCTTGAAATTTCTGCCCCTTACCTTGCAACCTCTGCATCACATTGGCGATGTCCCGAGGAGACCGTGAGGCTGCTCTGGAGGTTGCCATGGTCCCTCCGGTAACATGAAGGCAACACCACGAGACGTGACCCGAGGCAGCACAGGACTACACCACTCTAGAAAGCATGCTTGAACTTTCCTAGATCTAGCAAGTCATAAATGAATCCCAGTCATTTGCAGCAGTCATCAAGGAAACAGCACTCCCCAAGACTGAACCACTTCTTTTTCTTCTTTTAAGACCGTCCTCTTAAATGAACTCAAAAACCTGAAAGACAAAAAAGAAAAAGTACAATATAAAAAAATCTACAAAGGTCACCATAGTGCTAAAAGCAGAACCATTTCTATTCAATTTGAATACCTAATTCATTCTCAAGTGAAATAACGTGAAAACATTTACAAACTATAAAGTACTATGCAAATGTTAGGGATTCCTATGATAGTTTTGATAAAATAAACACATAAGTGAGACATATAAAATATAATTGGTTGCTGAAAGGAGAAATGTTCATTTTTATTCCAGGTTTTCTTTCTAAGCTGTAAACTTTCTCCATTGATCTATGAAAGTAAAAGGCCCTGTACTCAAAGCCCTGAGTGACAGTTCTTAGTGTTCACAGGCTCTCTTATCTGTGCTATTGTAGCCTGTTTTGCACACACTTTTTTGCCCTGTTTTGTTGTACACTTCACAAAAATGAGATCAAATTCTGATTTCTAATACCAATTTGATGAATTAAAATTGTATAACTGTAAAAACTATCCCATTCCAAAAATTTGAGTTTCAAATACTCTAATTTTAGAAGCTCAAATGGGTCTGATTTAGCGTTTTCCCTCACCCCATACAGAAAGATGCTAAAGTAAGTTGTAAGGCTGGGGGAAGGGTGGACTAAGCAGAGAGGGCATTTCCCTTCTGAATTCTCTGCTTAGTCAAGTTTAATTGACATCTCAACTGAGAGGGAAGGCAAAAAAGAGGTAGGAGAGTAGTTGATGAAATCTTGACCTTGCAAAATGCACTTTGAGCAAGAATTTCCTAACCCTAGGGTTAGCTGAAGAGAAGATCTTGCCATGATCAGTATAAATAGACAGAAAGAGGAGGGGAGTGAATAATGCATCCAGAGAAAGAAACTTAACCAAGGGGCCAGGCTGAAAAGGCCCAGGTGAGAGTGATACTTTATTACAATTCACATTGCATCTCTAGGTTATGAAGATGAAGGTAAAAAAAAAAATAATAAAGAAATGGAGGAGGAGGGAAAAAGACAAAAAGCAAAACTCCCAAAGAAAGCACATAAATGTGGGATGGTCCACCTCCCCGAAGGAAAAAAGAAAATAAGAGGAGTTTATGGGTGTTATAAAAATTCTATTATAACCTGAATGTATGGTCCATAAACTAGCATAATTTATGAAGGATTTATTAAGTAATAGAGTGTACAATTACAATTGATTTAAAAATGGCATTAGCAATACTAGCATATATTGGTATCTGGTCAAAATACATGAATGCAAAGCTGATCTTATCTTTTTCAGACTATCATCTATTAACAAAAAGGGATACAAACCATTGCACACTGCTGCTGCCATGTGTGAAAAAGCATGCGTGAAAAAGATGTATTGGAGCAAGAAAGCATCACTAACTTAGCAAGTCAGGGGGCGGAGATGAAATGAACATCATTAATTGGTAAGAAGGTAGGGGAAGACTTCTCTTGGCCACTTGAAAGGATAATTACTAGAAGTAGGACCCAATTCTTGGCATCTTCTAGGCTAGAGAGGTACTTCTCAGTGGGTGGCTCTCCAAGGGATTCTCAGAGGAGAAATAATTACTTATGGCTGGGCTGTCAAGCATCAAGACCTACATTCCTGCTGGAATTGTGTGCCCATTAGCAGCCTGTATCTCCTGGGGAAAAATATTCCACCTGCCCACATACAAAAGCTACTTTAATTTGGGAGACTAATAGATAGTGAGAAGTGCCTGAGGGACCTTACAAATAGCTCCTCTAAGCTGTTAGAAAGTTAGGTTCTCCAAATGCAAAAATATGGCTTTTTGAAATCTATCAATAAATTGGTCAATATAATTTATGTGCATATACATTAACTAAAAAGAAGGAAAGACATTCACTTCAGTTCAGCAACCTGATCCCAGTGCTCAGCACTGGAGCTTACAGATGATTAAGACACGGCCCCCACCTTCAATCAAGAATCATGGAATTAAAAGGGATTTCTGTAAATCATTGCATCAGAGATCACCCTTCCTCTACCTTCTTCCAGTTCACATTCACGTCACACAGCAGATAAATCCTGAAATAATTCTCTCTCTCGCTCTCTGTCTCTCTCTCTCACCACATTGAACTCAGAATCTCTCTGCTTGTACCCAGGTTGTATCCAGTGTTATGTCCACAGCATAACTAACGTATTCTGAGTGCCTGAGCTCAATGCTGGGAGTACTAAGATAAATATGACACAAAACGTATTTTGGAGGAGCTTAGAACATAGTGGGAAATAAAACATAGAAAAGATAATGTAAAAATATCAGGGATAAGTGCAAATATCAGGATGGATGGATACAGAGGATGGAGGCTAAGCCAGTCTAGGGGTTCTAGAAAAGTGTCCCGCAAAGGAGCTAGTGCCTGACCTGAGTCTCGGTAAATGAGTTAGAGTTAGGCAAGTACAAAATACAAACGATGCATCCCAGGCAGAGTGAATAGCCTGAACAAAGGTGTGGGCACAAGCAACAGCATGATTCATATGTGGAGCTACCACCAGTCAGACACTGAACACACTGCCAGGTGACGTTCTGGAGGTGAGGCTGGACAGGAACCAGGCGGCCAGGTGGTGAGGTCCCTGCATTCTGTGCCCAGAAGCTTGGTCTTGGCTCTCTGGGAGACAACAGGAAGCCATTGAGGGGTTTCAGGGTGGAAGTGAGAAGGTATAATTTGATTCTAGCTACAGTTTTTAAGAGTGTATTTGAGAAGGACAAGACTGGAAGATCCAGGAAGATCAGTGAGGAAGGTGTCTCAGGAATCCGGGTGAGAAGTGATGAGAGAACTGAAATCAGACAGAGGGAGCAGAGTGAGTGGAGGGTAAAAATCTAAGAAAGTTTCAGGAAGCAAAATTTGTAAGACTTGGAGATTGTCGACAGGGGATAGGGAGGGATGAGTGAGGTGTGGGGTGTAGGCGGAAGGAGGTGGGGTTTCCAGGGCGAATAAGGAAGTCTGAGGAGTTTCTGATGACTTTCAGGATTCGTGACGCATTAATTGGGCTTAGCAGAAGAGGGGCTGCACAGGTTTTACTTCCAAATATTCTTCACTTCATATCCCCACATCTTTGGAACAACTCTGTGGAGCAATTTCTTCATTGTCCTTCAGATCAGCCCTCTACAGAGTGTACAACACTCTCAGCTGAACAAATCCAAAGCATCACTAAGTACGTAACCCAGGACCCACATCCCACTTGAAGCCTTTCCTAAACACACCAGCACACATTAGCATTGTTTGCCCTTGGTTCCTCTAGCACTAACAATCCCCACTATGATAAGTACAATTTGGCGTATCTTTTTCACCACTGTTAGTCTTATCTCACTCGAACCTAGCTGTGAAGATTTCACCGGTATGGACTATAACACTTATGGCTGTAACATCTCACCCGTTGATACCAAATATATCCCTGACCACATCCTAGGCCCTTAATATATATTTTTTGTTTCATTGAATCAAGTTCATAGCAATTTACATCTATGGGACAACCCCCAGAAAACCCCTTCCTCTCTATTGCAAAAGAAGTTCATGCAATATCCTTCCTTTTTCAGACATAAGATAAAGAATTTTGCTTTCATCATTCAAGTATCATATATGTCCTGTGTTGTGAAATCATGATTTTCTTGCTTTTGACTTATACCTTAATATCATATGATTTGATAATGAATTTCAAATTAATAAAAAGAAGATAATAAAGGGAGAATGGGAAGTAGGAGCTATGAGTTCTAGGCTTAACTTTGTTTCAACTAGTTGGGTGGTTTTGAGCTGGTTTTGTGTATGAAGGTCCTCAACAACTACCTATCAGAGGGAGTGTGGTACCTGGAAATGCACAGACTTTGGACTAAGAAAGACCTGTAGCCGAATTTTAATTCTGTCTCTTACTGTCCATATGACCTTAAGGAAAGTGAACTTTTCTGAGCCCCTGTTTCTTCATCTGTAAAATGACTTACATTTATGCTGAATTAGGTTGAATTTTATCCCACTTAAATTAAATTTTAAAAAGTTAAATAATCCAGCAGATTGTTTGGCATATAGTGAAGTTTCAGCAAATAATTGGTTTCCATTTTCCTTCCTCTGGCCTCGGCTTCTCCACCTGTGATATGAGAGACGTGTGATCTTCAGTTCCCAAACCAGTGGCAGCACAAGGTGACAGAGAAAACAACTGCTGGTGCAAGGTCATGAATCCTTGAACTGACTGGTTATGTAGGAGTGTTCTGGTTGTGGACATGACCTATAGAACCAGAACACCAGAGAAAGACAGAGAGACCTTAGTGAGCTCACTATTCCCAGGGTTATTAAATAGTTTTTTTTTCCTTTTTTTTTTATTTCAGCATATTATGGGAGTATAGATGTTTAGGTTACATATGTTGCCCTTGCCCCCCCTTCCCCCCCAAGTCCGAATTTCAAGTATGTCCATCCTTTGGATGGTGCGCATTGCACCCTTTGTGTATGCATATACCCGTCCCCTCCTCCCCCTCCCCCCTGCCCGACATCCAATAGATGTTATTCTTATATGTGCACTTATGTGTTGATCAGTTAACACCAATTTGATGGTGAGTACATGTGGTGCTTGTCTTTCCATTCTTGGGATACTTCACTTAGTAGAATGCGTTCCATAGTTGCAGAATATTGGGGTGGAGGGGAATGAGGAGTGGAGCTAGGTATTGGGATGGAAAGGGAGAATTAGGTAGACACTGATGGGCTATATACCAATTAATAGTCCCTGTACCATCTCCAGATTTTTCCGAGAGAAGGAACTAAGATTACAATGCAGCTAAATAAATCCACTATACTTAGCAGAAAGGTA